TGAAATCTGATCTTAGTTGTGTCTCACACTATGTAATGTTGATCTTAGTTGTGAAATCTGAAATCTGTATGTTAATTTTATTAATTCTGAAATCTAAATCTAAATCTGAATCTGAAATATGAATTTGTTTTGTTTGATCTGAAAATTGATTCTGATTGTTAACCTTTTTTTTCTCCTTCTCATCCTTTCTTTTATACCTTCCTTTGTATAATAAATTAATCACCAATCTGTTATCTCAGTCATCTCAATCAAAACTGGAAAATGCAGGAGGGGAGAAGTACTTCTTGCAATACCTGGATATGACCTTAAGCCCTACTGGCAAATGCTACTTCCTTTTTCCTATGCCATTGTATCTGGTGCTGTAGGATCATGCTCGGTGTTGTTTGCAAAATCCCTGTAAGTAAGCTGAAGCTTTAAATTTTTATATTACATTGACCTCCTTTGAGATTTAGAGAAAATACAGTAAACCTCATAATTTTGACAAAATTACATTGAGTGCCCTTGAGATTTTAATTCATATAACTCTTAACCCTCTTTTCACCAATAATTTATTAGTTATATGGATGAAAAAATGATGTTGTCATCTCTTGTACACGAAAATGTATACTTTACGTTGTTTATTTTTGTGTTTTCGTACCATCTAGATTAGTTTTGGTGCATTTAACCTTACTAAAAGGGAGGTCAATGTAATTATGTCGAGACTATGAGGCTTAATTGTATTTTTTCCAAATCTCACGGGAGGTCAGTGTAATTTTCCAATTTTTATTTTTATTTTCCATCTTGGATGGTCAAAAAAAAGAAGACAAAGAAAACTAGAATTGAAATTCTTTTTGACATTCAATACCTTGATTTTTGCAGCTCTAACCTGCTAAGATTGTCCATGTCTGGTGGCTATCAGTTGCATAGCTGGTTCACATACTCCATGCTTTTATTATTTCTTAGTACGGCTGGCTTTTGGGTAATGTTTACATGAATAAGTCAATTTTTTTTCTTCATATTTCTACAATGTACGAGTTTGTGGAGACAATGAATTTGGGAATCCCTGATTTTATTCCTAATTTGTTACAACTGCAGATGGCAAGGTTGAATGAAGGATTATCACTCTTCGATGCAATACTTATTGTTCCTATGTTTCAGATTGCTTGGACTTTCTTCTCCATTTGTACAGGATTTGTATACTTTCAGGAATATCAGGTTCTTTCTCTCTCTCTCTCTCTGTGTGCGCATATCAGTACCTTAAGACTTTATCAAATCTAAATCAACTCTTAGTCAATGTGGTGTTAGGTTGATGTTTCAGGTAAACTGTCCAGCCCCTGAAACCACCCAAATATAAAGTTTAATAAAAATAAATTTATCATATAATATTGATTAGTGTGTGTTTATCAAGTGTATGCAAATTAAAATGTGGTCTTATAAAATCTATGTATTCATATTTCACTACTTGATAAAGAACCGGCTAACCTCATTACACATTGTTTTGATTGTGGGTTAAAAGGAACAGAAACAGCTGTAGTGAGCTCAGCTTTGGTTTGAGACTGAACCAGACTAGATGAAATCAAGTTGTACTTCTTGACATAATGGGTCGGTGTTCTTTCCTGGTTATGTAAAACTGGGACAGCTGATTTATTCAAATAATTGGGATCAAGCGAGAGCAATTTGCTCTGGGGCAAATTGAGGTCAAATATCTTGCTCAGTTGCTCCATGTGGACTTGACCGTTAGAGATGTCCATGTGGTGGGAATCACGCATGATGTATCCTGTAGAAAAAAGGGTTGCACCTTTGATGTTTACTCAATATTAACCCACTTTAGTTTAGTCTGTTGGCATATGTCCAGTCTTGCTTCTCTTGAATTCACACACATTGGCAGACTATTGACTGTTGCTTAAGCAGGTATTTGGTGCTCTAAGGACAACAATGTTCATATTAGGAATGATTTCTGTATTCATAGGCATTTCTTTGCTTGCACCAGACGAGGCAAAAGGTATAGTTGTGGGTCATGGATATAGGTGTAGGTCATGATTTCTGTATTCATAGGCATTTCTTTCCATTAGAGCTATTAGAACTCCAATATTAGAGCTCTAAAGCATTTATATCGTCTCCCTCTCATCTTTCCTAACAACCATAGATCATAAATTATTGCACAAAAAATACAGAAAATGAAAAAAAAATTAATTTTTAGTGGACACCCTATTTTTTTTATTTTTTCGTAAAAATTTTTTCGTTACACCTGATTAACTACCATATATAGAGTTAATTGTAATCACATATTAGTATTCTTCTCACAATTCTTTATGATGGACCCTCTGCATGTGAGTTCCTACAAAATAAATTTGTGTATTCTACAATCCAAGACAGGTAGGAACCCTTTAAGTCCAACCCTTCCCACTCCCATCAGACATGAAAAAATTCCCCAGGTATATTACAATAAGAGTTTATTACACTATTTTGGACTACATTGAATTCCATTATTATTATTATTATTATTATTATTATTATTTTTTTTTGAGTAGGGAAAACTTTGGTTTCTCTAATTGAGAGATATGCAGTTGTTCCTGATGACAACGTAAGTGTTCTTTCCACAGTCTTCATTATCTTCATTACTGGTGTTTAAATAGTTGGTTTCTCTAAAAGATTATAATTTGCAACTGTTATCAATTTATTTGTAGGTCAAAAGGATAAATTTTGCCGAGGGGAAGATCTGATTCTAAAAGTAAGGAATTTGCAGCTTGATTTTTGAAATAGGTTCAAAATTGAGATTTTATTGGAAATTTTTTAATTTTTGTAAGAGCATTTAAATATCCAATGTGCTGATTGGTGAATTTTAGATTTTATTTTATTATTAATTTTTTTTTAGGATTTGGGTGAATTTTATAATTTAAATATGCTTTTATGAACATGTACAGTTTAATTGTTCTTTGTAAAATATTGAATTTGATGGTTTGATCAATTTTTATTTTTATTTTCTGTTATGATGTTTTTGTGAATAGAATGTAAATAATCAGCTCTTAGAGAGAGAGACGGCACCACCGTCGGAAAAAATAGAAAATTTTAATATTTTTATTAATTTTGTTATAGGTTTTATTTTTTGTGACGACATTATACTGTCGCAAAAAATGGAAATTTTATTATTTAAAATAAAAATTTTATTATTTTTTAATATTTTTTGCGACGGTATTACACTGTCGTAAAAAATAAAAAATTTCATATTTTTTATACTTTTTGCGACGGTACCACACCGTCGCAAAAAAAAGTGTTTTTTTAAAAAAAAAGACTTTTAGCGACGGTATTTTTTGCTGTCTCAAATAATATTTTTAGCGACGGTAAAATAGGGCCGTCGCAAAAAAATGTTATTAGCGACTGCACGGTGCTGTCGCAAAAAGGTAAAAAATGCCGTCGTAAAACATTAGCGACGGCACTTACCGTCGCAAAAACTCTTTTGCAACCCCTGCAGTTGCGACCCCCCTCTTGCCGTCGCAAAAAGTCATTTTCCCGTAGCAAAAAGTATTAGCGACGGCATTAGGAGTATTAGCGACGGTATTTTACCGTCGCAAAAAGTCATTTTTTTTTGTAGTGCATTTTTATTTTTCACTAGGTACCCTAATGATTATTTGTTTTCATTATTTTCCTAATGATTATTTTCAAATAAAGAACCAATCATAAATATTCACCTAAGAGATGATACAAAAATGTGACAAAAAATTGATGACAAATAATAGTTCTCCCATTGATATCAGGGCATATAAGTACTTTTACAATGAAAATTGAGAAATTAGGAATGCTTTGGACTTTATGTGTATATTTTAGTTTGTAAATAAGAAAATAAAATATAGTAAAAGAAGCAAAATTTCTTTTTGTTTGATTAAGATGAGATCAAGAAAATGACACATAATTAGATTTGTTTTTTTTCAAATCCAAAATTCAAACATCTCATTACAACATTCTCTTTTGTATGTCTTCATAACAAACTTGTATCATGCCAATGAAAACACTTTACTTGCAAATAAATAAATATAAAAAAAAAATGAAAACACTTTTATATGAATCTTGAGTTTTGCTATGGAAAATAAATAAATAAATGAATCAACTTGTTTGCAAAAAATGAAACTTCAACAAGGGTCCAGAGCATGGCTTGACCATTAATTCTTGTTCCCCACGTCTTTGAAGTTTCACCAAAGGAAAATAGAAATCAAAGTAAATGTCTTTTCGACTTGTAATACAGAGCATCACTTCCAAAGGTAGGGCTGGCCTTTTCTCGACCGTTGCTGGTAAAATCGTTTGACCAACTCTAGTCACTGAGCTTTCTTCTTTTTATGAGTCTACTTTTTTTCTTTGGGAGATTTTTTGAAAAAAAAAAAAAATTTCAGTGTTTGTATCCCAATTAATTTATAAAATATTTTTATATTTTAATAAATTTTATTATTTGAACATTTGATTTATCAAATAATAATTCTCATACTTAAAATATTTTATAGACATTTCTACCCTTACAAATATTTTTTGAACGATTAGCAATTTGGTGATGTGAATATTCATATTTTGAAATTTAAAATATTTGCAAACATAGTTTTTTTCATTGACTAAAATAATCAAAAAATTAAAATATCAATTAAAATAACCAACATCCAAACGAGGGCTTAATCATTTAGTTGAATAGATGATTATGAAAGAAAAAAATAATTGATTAATGTATAAATGAGACATTTTATCTTATTGATTATTTTATATTTATCATCCCAAACACCAAGGCTATTTTTGTGTGCTAAAGTGTATATTAATTGATAAAAATAATATTTAATTTTGAAAAAATTCTATGATGGAGTGTATATCATATGTCCCCTAATTATGAAATTGGTAGTATTTCGTTATGACCTATTGAGGTGTTATTTATAACTTGGTTATGTACATTATCTTATTAATTATGATTTATTGTGATGTTATTTATAATATTATTTTGATTATGGCCCAAGAGCTCTTTATTTATACCTTATGTGATGTTTTATTATAAATTTTTTTTTTTTTTAATTATGACTCTCAAAGACTGAATTATTTGTTGGAAATAGTAGAAAAATTCTGGGTAAAACCAGAATTTTTTCTCAAGTTTGGTCTATTTTTTAGGTGGGCCCCGAGTGTCGATTTACTCGGGTCAAAGTGGTAACGCGTTTTTTGCCGCGTTGTGATTCACGTGGTATATTTGGTTGCTCAAAACCATTACCGAGTGAATGGGAAATTGAAGCCAAAGTGTGCTCCATGGAAATGGAGTTTTGGTGGAAATTCCTTAAGGTTGTAAATTGGCTTGTCCCACATTGATTTGGTAGGAAGTTTTGAAAGGGTTTATAAGGCTTAGGGTGAGATACTTGGGGTGTGCCCCAAGGGGTACCCAAGTGTTTTAGAGGGAGAGATTATGGGCAAAATGGGCTAGACCCATTGGACCCAAAAATCACCACACACGCGCGCGCGCACTATCGCACTGTTTTGTGCATTGTATTGTTCGCGCTGTTCTGTGCATTGCACTGTTTTGTGCATTTCAAACTATCGCACTGTTTTGTGCATTGTATTGTTCGCGCTGTTCTGTGCATTGCACTGTTTTGTGCATTTCAAACTATCGCACTGTTTTGTGCATTGTATTGTTCGCGCTGTTCTGTGCATTGCACTGTTTTGTGCATTTCAAACTATCGCACTGTTTTGTGCATTGTATTGTTCGCGCTGTTCTGTGCATTGCACTGTTTTGTGCATTTCAAACTATCGCACTGTTTTGTGCATTGTATTGTTCGCGCTGTTCTGTGCATTGCACTGTTTTGTGCATTTCAAACTATCGCACTGTTTTGTGCATTGTATTGTTCGCGCTGTTCTGTGCATTGCACTGTTTTGTGCATTTCAAACTATCGCACTGTTTTGTGCATTGTATTGTTCGCGCTGTTCTGTGCATTGCACTGTTTTGTGCATTTCAAACTATCGCACTGTTTTGTGCATTGTATTGTTCGCGCTGTTCTGTGCATTGCACTGTTTTGTGCATTTCAAACTATCGCACTGTTTTGTGCATTGTATTGTTCGCGCTGTTCTGTGCATTGCACTGTTTTGTGCATTTCAAACTATCGCACTGTTTTGTGCATTGTATTGTTCGCGCTGTTCTGTGCATTGCACTGTTTTGTGCATTTCAAACTATCGCACTGTTTTGTGCATTGTATTGTTCGCGCTGTTCTGTGCATTGCACTGTTTTGTGCATTTCAAACTATCGCACTGTTTTGTGCATTGTATTGTTCGCGCTGTTCTGTGCATTGCACTGTTTTGTGCATTTCAAACTATCGCACTGTTTTGTGCATTGTATTGTTCGCGCTGTTCTGTGCATTGCACTGTTTTGTGCATTTCAAACTATCGCACTGTTTTGTGCATTGTATTGTTCGCGCTGTTCTGTGCATTGCACTGTTTTGTGCATTTCAAACTATCGCACTGTTTTGTGCATTGTATTGTTCGCGCTGTTCTGTGCATTGCACTGTTTTGTGCATTTCAAACTATCGCACTGTTTTGTGCATTGTATTGTTCGCGCTGTTCTGTGCATTGCACTGTTTTGTGCATTTCAAACTATCGCACTGTTTTGTGCATTGTATTGTTCGCGCTGTTCTGTGCATTGCACTGTTTTGTGCATTTCAAACTATCGCACTGTTTTGTGCATTGTATTGTTCGCGCTGTTCTGTGCATTGCACTGTTTTGTGCATTTCAAACTATCGCACTGTTTTGTGCATTGTATTGTTCGCGCTGTTCTGTGCATTGCACTGTTTTGTGCATTTCAAACTATCGCACTGTTTTGTGCATTGTATTGTTCGCGCTGTTCTGTGCATTGCACTGTTTTGTGCATTTCAAACTATCGCACTGTTTTGTGCATTGTATTGTTCGCGCTGTTCTGTGCATTGCACTGTTTTGTGCATTTCAAACTATCGCACTGTTTTGTGCATTGTATTGTTCGCGCTGTTCTGTGCATTGCACTGTTTTGTGCATTTCAAACTATCGCACTGTTTTGTGCATTGTATTGTTCGCGCTGTTCTGTGCATTGCACTGTTTTGTGCATTTCAAACTATCGCACTGTTTTGTGCATTGTATTGTTCGCGCTGTTCTGTGCATTGCACTGTTTTGTGCATTTCAAACTATCGCACTGTTTTGTGCATTGTATTGTTCGCGCTGTTCTGTGCATTGCACTGTTTTGTGCATTTCAAACTATCGCACTGTTTTGTGCATTGTATTGTTCGCGCTGTTCTGTGCATTGCACTGTTTTGTGCATTTCAAACTATCGCACTGTTTTGTGCATTGTATTGTTCGCGCTGTTCTGTGCATTGCACTGTTTTGTGCATTTCAAACTATCGCACTGTTTTGTGCATTGTATTGTTCGCGCTGTTCTGTGCATTGCACTGTTTTGTGCATTTCAAACTATCGCACTGTTTTGTGCATTGTATTGTTCGCGCTGTTCTGTGCATTGCACTGTTTTGTGCATTTCAAACTATCGCACTGTTTTGTGCATTGTATTGTTCGCGCTGTTCTGTGCATTGCACTGTTTTGTGCATTTCAAACTATCGCACTGTTTTGTGCATTGTATTGTTCGCGCTGTTCTGTGCATTGCACTGTTTTGTGCATTTCAAACTATCGCACTGTTTTGTGCATTGTATTGTTCGCGCTGTTCTGTGCATTGCACTGTTTTGTGCATTTCAAACTA